CTGTTAGTTTGTTTACCAGTTGGTGGAATAAAATTGAGCTTCATATATCTTAATAAAGATAAAAGAAGAGAAACAATAAGAGACAGAACTGCTGGCAGTTTAGATGTCTTCTCTCCTGATGTAGTACTGCCTGACTTGCTGTCTACTGTAGCTTTGAATGAGTGAGAGTGGCAGCCATTAGCTGGTCTACTGGAGGCAGCTTGACAGTAGTTCCACAGTCCAATACTTGCTCTCCATTGAGAGACATCAATCATCTTGTAAATGATTATTATAATGAAACTATAGAAAATCTACCAAGTAGTTCCTCTATCCAGTCACTAGTGGACAATAGACACATGATAGAAGTGAGTGTACTGTAACTTAACTATGTCTATAGCTAATTAAATTATGTTTCATGTATCATTATCATTTTCACTCATGTGAGAATAATTGTTTTTATTGCTCAACTATACTGTTATTCCAGTATTTTGACTAAATTTGGTCATTTCAGAGTTATCAGAGTTTATGTGTGGTGTGTAGCACCTAGGTATACAGGTATACATGTAGCTTAATTATTCCATTCTCCTTCTTTCCTGATAGAACTATGTGTAAATGTACAGTTTTTCCAAAAAATGGCTCCGAAATCACCCCAAATTTTTATTACGTTTTCTGATACATATTGATGTCCTTATGCTGTGTAGAAAGTTTGAGCTGATTCCGACTTCAATTTTTCAAGTTACGACCATTTTAAGAAATTGCCAAATAAATTAGTACAGTACGTGTGTGCATATACTAAATACCCTACCTCTCATGTATCACATGACTGTCGCATGATAGGAGGGAGGAGTACCTAAGAACCTAATGTCTGGAATGGGAGGAGGAGGAGGAGGCCAGCAGTCCGGGGGTGAAGTACTAGCAACATTCTTTAATAACCTGTTATCTAAGAAACCCAGCACTAAGACCTCTCGTAGTACCACTGGAGTCACTGGAGGGAGTGATGGGAAGAAGAGCACACCAAAGACTGAGAAGTAACTGAATCTATTGTTAGTGTTTGTGGTTGTAGAGAGATAGAAGTGATAAAGAGGTGTTGTTTTTTTTGTTGTTGTTTTAATTTATTAATTCATTTTGTTCAAATTTTTGTTTATTAAAAAACCATATCTCTGTGTTTTAGTATAGTAATTATTATTATTATTATTATTATTATTATTATTTAATTGATATTATTATTAAAGTAGTTGTCTTGCTGTTGTTTTTGATGTGGACATTAACTTTTAATTAATAAATAAATATCAGTTTTATTTTCTAATTTTGATCATGTTCTTTTATGCCAGCAGGCTGAAGGAGCATGATAATGTTTATGATATTGTAATGGTATTGTTTCATTTCATTTGTTGCAGTTAGATTTTGTGGATTTCACTCATTACACCTTTATTTTAATGTGAAAGTAACATACTCTTCTGCTTTGGGCAATAATAATTAAGTTTTGCATAATATTAGTACTATTACCAAAAATCAACTAAAAACTAATAATATTGTTGTATAAATATAACTGTTTTTGGTTACTGACTTGCTATTCTAAACAGCATACAAGTATGAATAATGTTTCAGCATAACTTAGGCAACTGCTAAAAACTCTAACTATAAAAATATTTTAAATCACTATAGCTAAGTCTAAGCCTTCTAGGTTGTGTTTTGGCATCGTATTCTGTGATACTTTTCCAAAGCTTCTACATATGTATCACATTGTGAATTCACTACTGAACTTCCTGCTGGTAGAGGTATCCATCTAGTTGGTTGAAGTTGTGCTGCAACATTCATCAAACTTGTTTTACAGAAGCAGGCGAATGTTTCACTGTTGTTATTAGCAATATCATATTCACCAAACTCTTTTGGATGATTAAGAAAATATTTAGCCAATTCAATGGTTTCAGAAAGAGGCATTGCCTTCTCTGTGTGACAGTAGGCACTATGTAATATGGAAGAGATTTTTGATCCTACACTGCAGTTGTATGCGACCAGACAGAGTCTATTACCATCACGGAATTTATCCAGAGTAGTTTTCCTTATTTGACAATGTGGGCTTGACCTTTTAAATTCTAATGATCCAGTTTCATCTCCACTAAAATGAATCACTTCACAATCAGGCTCACCAATATAGATACCGTGATGAGTGTGGAACCATCTTTGAGAAAGAATATGATCACCAGGTTTGACCTCCTCTCCAGTTATTGCATTAGATACATACCCAACTCTGTTTGCTGAATTATCTGGTACTACAATTAAAATACAGTAAATAAATAAAAGGCTATAGTACACAGTTTCTAGTAATTGCTATCAAGCACTTGATTTTGATTTTTGTTAAAAACTTTGGCTTAGTTTTAATTGTATATAGAAGCAGTATTTTTTGTTTTTTGCAACTATGACTTAGACAAATTAACTGTTAAGATTTATAATTTTTCTGCATAGCTATCATTATTGTGTTTTTGCATTACCTAGTAGAATGTAAAACAGTCACACCCTTACCTAATTCGTGTAATATAGAGGTAGCAATATCTGTTAGTGTACGATATTTTTGGTTTATTAATACATGACATATATCAATGAGATACTCCTTTGGATCAAGAGAGGCACGTAGCTGTCTGTCAATGCTATTGATAAGCGTAGTCGCTTTTCTATAATTAGCAACTCCCGTTACATCCATATCTTCTTTAGTTTCCAGTGATATCAGTCCTTCAGCATGCAACGCATTTGATGTTCTCAAAATGCTAGTAGAAATACTATCTGTAAGTTCAACAGAATGAGCCCTGAATATAGCACTAGGAGTTTTACCTGCTATATAATGTATCAATTAGGCTGTTGTATTAACTGTATGTTTACCTTTAGTGGGATCTGTTACTTTTCTTTCAATATTATTAACTAGCTCCATCTCATCACATTCCTTCAAAGCAGTAATAACATCTCTCCATGATCCATGAGGATTAGCTTGCAGCCAACTCTTATATAAAGCTTCTATACTGTTTCCCTTTGCTTTATCAATTATCTTGACATCAGATTGTGTTATTCCAGGAAGAAAAAGAGCAAATGGTTTCCAGTCAACAAGTGGTTTAAGATATTTTGTAAATGAGAGAAGTGATGGTTGATCATCAATCATTGGACCAGGATTAAGTTCAACATCTCCTGATAAGAGGAGGAGGAGAAATAAAACCAAATAGTAGACTAATGACTGGATGTGAACATCAATC